CGACCAGTTCTGTATATACAGGACTTTGGACGCCACGGATATACCGGTGCTTGCTATCGAATACAAGGCGCCGCACAAGCTGAGCGTCGACGAGGTTGTTACGGGCCTTGGGTCGGAAATTCAGCCCGAACGCGATGTGATTAACAAGAACGGCCAGGGCTTCGCCTTCACGGCCAGGGCACTCGCCGCAGCTGTCGTCACTCAGCTCTTCTCGTACATGATCGGCAAGGGCATCCAGTATGGCTATGTGTGCACGGGACAGGCTTTCATCTTCCTCCACATCCCGGACGACCCCGCCACGGTCTACTTCTCGGTGTGCGTGCCGAACCTGGACGTCATGGACGACGACGAGACGAGGCTCCACCGCACGGCCGTTGCGCAGGTCTTTGCCTTTATCCTCCAGGCCGTCCGCGCGAGTCCACCGCCCGAGTCATGGCATGACGAGGCCGCGAGGCTTGGGACCTGGGCCGTCGAGTACGACGATATCCTGAGGAACATCCCTGAGACGGAGCGCAAACCCAAGGAGCCCCGCGCCTCTCCTTATAAGCCTCAGCGCTGGAAGGGCTTTAAGCGATCGCCAATCCGGACCCGCTCCCGCTGCCAGCAACTCGACGCTGAGGTTAGACGTTCAGACGATGACGATCACGATGATGATGACGACAACAACGACCACCACCACCAAGATCCCCCTTCCCCTTCTCCGAAACAATCTCGCACCGGTGGGAAGGTAGCAACAACGGGCACAGGCTCGGCGGGGGGCGGTGGGGAGCGAGAACAACGGCGCTCAGGCGAGCGGCAGAGCCAGGGCCAAGCAGCAAAGCCAGACATCCAGGGCCGGCCGTTCTGCACACAGCAATGCCTCCTGGGATTAGCATCTGGCGGCGGGTCCATGGACAAGAACTGCCCCAACGCGGACGACCACGGGCAGGAGCACATCAGCCGGCCCGAGTTCCTCCGCCTCGTCCGACACCAGCTTGCCACGGACCGCGGCCGCGACGCCGACTGCGTGCCGCTCTATCTCTCTGGGGCGCGCGGCTCCCTCTTCAAGGTGCGGCTGTCGGCCTACGGCTACACCCTCGTCGCCAAGGGCATGGAGGGTCTCGACCGCGCCTGTCTGCAGCACGAGAACGACATGTACGACCGGCTCCAGCCCATCCAGGGGAAACACATCCCCGTGTGTCTCGGCAGCATCGACCTGGTCCTGCCCTACTACTACGACAGTGGCGTCTACGAGCACTTTATGTTCCTGAGCTGGGCTGGACAGCCGCTGCTCCGCTGCGGTGATAAAGTCGACAGAGCTGCCGCCGCCGCCGCCGCCGAGGCCGTCGCCACCATCCTCAGGGCGGTGCACAGCCTGCACGTCCTCCACCGCGACGCGGAGCTGCGCAACCTCCTGCTCGACCCAGACAGCGGCGGCCTCATGATTATCGACTTTGAGCGCGCAGAGTTCCGCGGCAGCCGCCCGCCCCTAGGCCCCATAGGCGCTAACAGCCCGAACCGGAAGAGGACAAGGCGCGGGCTACCGCAGAAACAGGCGAGGGACGACTTTGCGAGAGAGCTGGAATATGCTGTGGCGAGGGTTTCACGCTGGGCTGCGTCCTTACCCGGGCATGCAGTCACAGGATAGATAGGTAGGCAGGCAAGAAGGGGTTATTCGAGAAGAGGTCATTCGAGAGAAGGCTATTGCAAGACTTGGAAGTTTGAAAGCTAATAATAAGACTTTCTTTTTGCTGAAATTCACTAAACCCCTTCCAGATTGATCAGCATTGAGTGCTCTCTCTCTCTCTATGCAAAACCACGCCCTCTTTTTAAAATTTGTGACTTATAAAATTCAAAGTAGCTTTACTGATTTAATAGAACCTTGCATGCATAAACAACTCGCTTCTTCACAGCAGCTGTTCTAGCAGCAGGCGATGCATTGATACAAAAATAAAAATAAAAAATTGCACTACTAAAAAGATTCGATAGTAGCAGGTATTGAGAAGCCGAGATGCTTTCTTAATGCTCTCTTTCTTTCTCTCTCGCTGTAGACAATCATATGACTGCATTACCTCCTCCCTTCTGTATCTGGTCTTTTTTTTTTTTTTTTTGGAAGGGGGGGGAAGAGTATAGCTGGATAACGATTCGCACAGCGCAAACACAAACCAGCTGATGAGCAGCGTAGGCTTCTATCATCCCGCCGGGACATTACTCCCGCCAGAGCCTACAGTTCTTCTCGCCGAGATCCTGGAAGCTGCCGAAGACGTAGCGCAGGTCGTTGGGCGCAGCGTTCCACGCAAGTCAAGTCAAGTTAAGCGGTAGCCCGCCACTTGACTTGCTAGCAATTTTGGCTGCTTGCTTGTCTTGCAATGCTTCACCACTTAAACCACTTTGTTATAACTCATCTAGCATGCAGATCTGTGAAAAATGGGGCATATTTAACCCTAACCCTCTGTTTTGGTCTCCTCATAAACCATCTCAGAGCCTGGTTTAGTTACTTAGAAGATCTTTCTTTTATATTAGATAGATTCAATCTCAATACTCATTCAGCTACTTCCACATGCTCAGCTCATACGTTTCTCCTTAGTTATAAGCCCAGTTTGCAAGAATCAGGTTTAATCTTCCCCTTATCTATCGAAACAGACTGAGCTGTTTACTTCTTATTCTTTCAGAACACATCTTTTGTTCCAAACAGTTATACTCATGCTCCATCAAAGCTCACAATAGAGCGCAAACCTAATAACCTCACGCTCTCAGTAAAGTGCACTAATACCTACTCCTTTCCATCCTGATATAGCATTTTGCAGTTCCAGAGCAAGGAAAAGGGTATTTGGAAGTACTTAGATCCGAATAGCCTAGATGCGCTCTCTCTCAAACCTGAAGACTTCAATCTCGAGTTCTCCAAGTTTACTCAGAATCTTGAAAAGGAGCGCAAAAACACTATAACGGAAAACTACAAGCTACTCTCTATCCAGGAACAAGCTATTCTCTACAATCAGGAGATGAAACGCTTTCAGCTTCGTTAAAACAAGCAGTTGTATGCTTACCAGAATGTATAGAGGATGTGAAACTGGATTCAGAAAATAGTACCTCCATCAGTCCTCATTTCTCACATGTATATCTATTCAGAAAAGAAGTCTCTCTCGATTCAACAGATATTCAGAAATCTGAAGAAAGATCTCTGTTCATCCAAGGAGAGCATGAAACAGGTCATTCGCCTCCAGTACTGCCATCACCTTAAGCTGGCTACCAGGCAAGGCACCGATTTCCAAAACTGGTACTAGCAATACCAGAATCTCCTGAACCTAGCTCGGGTTTATAGCATTAACAAAGTTGAGAGACTTCAGAGCTCTGATAACTTCCTTGCTGCTATCGGAGTTCGCTTCCAGACAGAGTAGGCCAAAACGCAACAACATCTTCTTGCTACAGCATCTAATAATAGTCTGCCTATCAAGACTATCAAACAGCTTTAACGAAATCTCGCTTCAATCCACCAACTTCAGCCTGAGCAGAAAAAAAGCTCAATAGTATTCGCTACTATAAGCGGAAAGAATCCACAATCCAGCAACTCAAGCATAAAATCTGGAAAGAAATAAGATAGATTTTCTAGCTAGAGCGAAAAGGAAGATTACAAGTGCCCCTGCAAGTTGTATCAAAGGAAGCATAAATGAGATCCGATGAGCTGCAGAAAGCTGGAGTATGCCTGTATTGGAGTCAGGCCAGACTCAATTTTCAAAGCTCTATCTAACAAGCAAAGAAAGAAGATCCTCTCTAAGCTAGCTAGCAAAAACTATCAGAAGCTCCATTCAGATCTTATTAGAACTAAATAGCTTCCTTAAGGCTGAATAGAAAGAATTCTATAGAGAACGGAGAATAACAGAAACCTCTATCCAGACACTATTGAATACTAGAACCTCTCAATCATAACATCAAAATGCTAGATTCAATACCTCTCAAGCCTGAAACAAAGCATTCTCAGTTCCTTCAAATAAACGCTATCTTCAACTCTTAACTCTTCAATCAGGCAGTATTGCTACAAGCAAGCATAGCAGTCTTCTTAATACTGTTTCAGATATCTTATATTCTTTCCCAAAGCATAGTTTTGAATAACTGCAGAGCTATACATTTTATTAATAGCATCAATCTTCTGAAGCTAAATATCTTTTCTTTCTTAAAGAATACAGAAGTTGTAGAAGCAGGAAGCTTATTATTGCTAATACGGGGATTCGGGAAATAATGCTTCAAAAATGCACTGAATAGGAAGCGAGAGGAATGCACTGAGAATCTAGTTCTCAACTGTATAGCGATTGTAGATAGCTTTCATATTAATATAATCGCTGAAGCTCTCTTATACAAGAAAGAGATCTAATATTATAGCAAAGATAGCATACTGCGCTCAGAAATACTTGAACAGAGCGCAGTTGTAATGAGCACTGCAGCAATCCGAAGATTCCTAAGTACACGAAGGGGTTTATGCTAACAAGAGTGGGGTCAAAGTATCAAGTCCTTGAATACGGAACTGTACAAGTTCTCAATAAGCGATGCAAGTGTTCACTGCCTTTGGGGCTATCAGAGTAGAGAGTAATCTGATACTTAGATTGACAACTGAAGAGCTATGTACTGAGTCTATCTAATAGTAGTGAACGTATCCTTATATATTCAGCTCTTCAGTATGAATATGTTGAATAGCAACATATCCAAGTTATTCTGCTAGCTCTGGATAGCATATATCCGAAGCTATCCTTCCTAATTAGCCGTATTCATAATCCTAACCCTGGGTTATGTAATCAATGCTTTGTCAGAACGTTGAGTCCTTGATACCTGATCCCTGTTACTCGTGATCTGTTCTGTAATCTGCATGTTGGATGGGTTATAATATCATCCCTCTCCTATTAGTTGTTATTCCCAACGATCTTTTGTAAGTATTCTAGCAAGTTCTCCGTATATATGATCTTGCCTTCCTAATTGAGATGTTAAACAGAATTAACAAATCTCGTTCTTATGCTGAGAAAACTAGATAAAAGGATTCTCTTCTTTCCTTAGTTCTTAAAAACGCTATTACTATGCCTTCTTATTCCTTCTGCGAGGGTTGTAGTATTCAGTCTTATCAAATCTCTATTGAGGATTTCTCTCGCTGCGCTGAATATATCCGCCTGGATCGCTTTCAGTGCGATATTCAAGGGTTGAGCGCAGCGGAAATTCGTCGGATAAGCATTCAATATCAATGCCTGGAGAACCAACTCGAGAGTGCTGAGGAGCAGCTGCGCGATGCTGCTGCGGAGGTAGGACGTTTGCGGAAGCAGAAGCGTCTGTGGTTTGAGAGGATGATGAAAGCTATTCGTTGAGGCCTCTTCAGCGTGGAGGAGCTAGAGCGTGAGGAGGCTGAGGAGGAGCGAGCTCGTGTTGCTGCCGGGGTTCGTTCCGTGGTTGCAGAGGAATCTGCTGCTGTTGCTGGAGATCCTTTCTTTGAGAGTTTCGATTGGAATTCTGTGGATGTAGGGAATTCAGTGGTAGATTGGTTGGGTTTTCTGGAGGGCGAGATTTCTGAGGCCTCTGGATCTCGGTTTGGGGCGGAGCGATCGTCCTAGGTGCTGGTTTCTTTCTTTTTCCAATACTCAGCTACTTTCTCCTGAGCGTTCTTAATGTTCTTCTGTGGTTCCTATGAATTTTCGCTTGCTGGGTAATCTTTCCATTTGATGAGGTATTCCCTTGTGCTGTTTATGCTTCTGTATCTGAAAATCCTTTCCATCTCATACTCTGGTTCGTTGTTTTCTACTTCTGCTGCATTATCCATTAGTATTTCCTATGCTGCTAGTTCTAGTAATGAGATGTGAAAGACTGAATGTATTCTTATTCTATAAGATAATGCTAACTTATAATTAACTGAGGAAATTTGTTATAAGATTTTGAATAATCCCAGCTTCTTATGATCGAGTTTACTGCTAAGTTTTGTTATTTTGATGTTTTTTCGAAGTAGGTAGATCTTATCTTCCTTCTGTAGGATTAGTTTCTCAATTCTTTTGGAGTTTGCATACTGTATTATTCGTTTCTGAATGAATTGTAATTCTAATTGGAGTTCTTTCTGAACTTTCTTAATCTTCTTAATTCTTTTATCTGCAGCTTCTGCATCTGCTTCTAGCAGTACTTCATAATAAGCTATTGGATTGTATTTATAGAGTATAAAGAATAGTAATTTCTTTATTATGCTTGTATTTGCGCTATTATAAGCAAATTGTATAAGGAGCAACAGATTAATCTAGTTGTTCTATTTCTGATTAATATAGTATCGAAGATATTGTTTAATAATCTAATTCATTCTTTTTATCTGTTTATATATTTGCAGATAAAATGCTGTAAATATTCTATAGTATGTTTCGAGTTATTTCATAAGTGAAGTTCAAAACTTCGAATTGAACTTCCTATTCCTATTGGAAATCACTTCTTCTGATATGCTATAGTTAGCAATAATCATTCTGAGAAATATATATGCAAGTTCTTCTGCTGTACTGCTTTCCTTATAGAGAAGAAAGTAAGCATACTTGCTTAGTTTGCAAATTATTACTAGAATGCTATTATATTGCATCTTAATTAAGAGTTCTTATAAGAGAAATAGCTTAGTAATAAAGTTTAGACTAATAGATTATTAAATAGTTATAGATACTAGTAAGAAATGCAGTAGTTTGTAAAGCTTGTATCTTTCTGCTTTATTCTTCTTGTAGCTATTGCATTGTTGTAGAATATTCTTAATTCTTTTCCTAAGATCTAGTAAGCTTTAGTATTTTTTGATATATTTATAGGTTGCTCTGATTCTCTAATATCTGTATGCTGGCGCATTATGTACATTCTTGATATAGTTGTCTTGTTTATCTGAAGTTATTAATTCTGAATTCTTTTCCGAAGATCCAATTCTGAAGGCAGCGTTCAGTTCTCTGTATGCATTGATGAGATTTCCTGACTCATCTTAAGCGAAGATATTCTATATGTTCGAGAAATCTGTATCTTAATAGTCTGATTATCTGCTAAGAGCATCTGCTTATCCGTTTTCTGAGCTTTTGCAATATATAATTCTGAAGTTGAATTGTAAGAGGAACTCTGCTTATCTAACTTATTGCTTGTTCAAGACTTTGATTATTATAAATATAATTAGATTCTTGTGATCTGAGTGAACTATAATCGAGTATTGTATACTGATGAGATAGTATTGCTATTCCTTGAAAGCTTTCACTATTGCTATAAGTTCCTGATCAGGAATTCTGTAGTTGATTTCTGAGCTGTTTAACTTCTTTAAGAAGTTGCTTATAATTCTTAGATACTCTTGATCATCTTGCTGATTAAGTTGTTCTCTGAGTATATATTCTAATGCATTAGTTTCAACTTCAAAAGGTTTATAAGAGTCTGCTTTATACAGAATTGGTTCTGAGGTGATGTATTTGATGATCTTATCGAAAGCTTCTTATATCTTAGAAGTTTATTCGAAGAATTAATTCTTTTTAGTAAGATTCGTAAGAGGATATGCAATTCAGCTGTAGTTTCTAATGAACTATCTATAGAAGTTAATATATTCAAGAAAAGATCTAATATTTCTAATATTTCTGAAGATTGGCTAATTCCTAACAGCTTCTATCTTATTCTTCTGTAGCTTAATATATTCTAGCTTGATTGTAAATCCGAAATAGTTAACTTTTTATATATAAAAATGATTCTTTGCAGATTTCACAAGGAGTTTTGCATCTTAAAGCATCTGCAATACTATTTCCATGTATTTCTTATATTCTTTCAGTATTCGGAAGTAAATAAGAATATTGTTGAGGTAAGCAATGATAAACTGATTCAGATGCTTGCATAGAATATGATTGATCATTTCCTGGAACGAAGCTGGGGCATTTGTTAGACTAAAGAGCATAATCAAATATTCATAGTGTTTATAGCGTATTCTGAAAGCAGTTTTCCATTCTTTTCTTTTCTTTACTCTAATCAAATTATAAGCTTCTTTTAGATCTAGAACTATAAACTACTATATTCCTTACAGCTTATCTCATAGTTTCTTGATGAGTAGTAATAGATATTGGTTCTTAATTGTAATATTATTAAATTATCTGTAATCAATATATAGTCTAAGCTTGCTATTTTTCTTAAGTATAAACAGAATAAGATATTCTGCTGATAATTGCAATGATTATATATATTCTTTCTTGAGATTCTCATCGAGATACTCCCTGAGTGCCTCTAGTTGTGCCTTATCTAGGCTGTAGATAAGGAAGAATTTGGGCTGTTTTTCTTCTTGTAGTAGGATCTTGTAATTGTATAAGCTGTATTCTGATAATTCTGTATCCAATTCTTTCTGAAATAGTTTCTTAAACTTGTGATATTCCTGTAGTATGCTTGCAAGTGTTAGTTCTGGTTCTTATGCTGTTTCTGCTATCTGGAGGAACAGTAGGTACTGCTGAGCGTGCTTCTTTTCTGATGGCGTTTTTAAGAGCTTTAAGCGTTCGCTTCGGGCCGGATCGAGCGCTCGAGAGCCTGGTTTCGAAGTTTTTCCTGTATGAACCCACAATCCACATTTTGAAGTTTTTTCTTATCGCTCCGGAGCGGACTAACTTGCTGAGGGCCTTGCTTCCGTTGTTTTGCTAACCTGCTAGCGCCCTAGCACTATTTGAGTTCGCTTGTTACTAGGTTCTTCTCCTTGAACTGCCAGCCTTGCTAACTTGGAAGTATATGTGAAGCTGTATAAAGCTTCTTTTCCTGAGTATTCTTCAACCACTAGCTTCGATCCTGCATCATTGATTGTAACTATCTCTCTGGATACAGCTTGTTCTCATGAGAGCTAGCTAGTAGTCCAATCGATTTGAGGATTGTATTCCTTGAGCTATAGAAGTTCTATAATCAGCTTATACTATACTATATTCATAATATCAAAAGAAGCTCTGATTATATATTCTTAGATTAAGATAAATAGATAATCAGTTTTCTTATTGATTACTCCTTGGTTGTATGCAACAGATTGTTTTTCCATAATGCTGAGAATATATAGTTGCTTCTTCCATTTCCATTGTAGTTATGCCTGATTGATAATATATGGAAATATGAAGTTTCCCTAAGCGCTACTATTCAATAGTGCGCTATACTTATGCTTTTGAATATATATATCAAACTTAATGTAAGCATAGTTTATTCTGAAAGCTTCACATAGGAATCATTCTAGTTCGATCATCTGCAGTTCCTTTACAAGCAATCTTATTCTTTTGAAGTTATCAAGAGCTGCTTATTCTTTTAAGCCTGCTTCGCTGCTTCTTAAGCGAGTTTCTTAGCTTGCTTCTGCTCATATCGTTATTATTTCTAATCTTTCCTCTGTTGATGCCAGTTGCAAATCTTATTATTAATATGAATCGTACAAAGCATTATTGTAATGAGCACTGCAGCAATCCGAAGATTCCTAAGTACACGAAGGGGGTTTATGCTAACAAGAGCAGTGTCAAAGTGCCAAGTCCTTGAATACGGAACCGTACAAGTCTCAGTAAGCGATGCAAGTGTTCACTGCCTTTGGGGCTATCAGAGTAGAGAGTAATCTGATACTTAGATTAACAACTAAAGAGCTATATACGAGATCTATCTGATGGGAATAAACGTATCCTTATATATCCAGCTCTTCAGTCCTGTTGGTAGTGTTGATTATTGGATCCCTTGGATCACCTGGATGATCCAACTAATCCGGATCACCATGAATCAGCTACCAATCCATCCTGATCCTGTAATCCTAATCCTTGCTTATATAAGTCTTAGTTCTGGAGATGTTGAATCCTTCTCTGTCTTTCCGAACAGTTGTTCCGAGTATCCTAGCTGGAAATCTGTATGTTGGATGGATTATAACATCATCTCCCTCCTATCGATCGTTATTCCTAACGATCTTCCGTAAGTATTCTGGCAAGTTATTTGCATACATGATCATGCTTTTCTAATCGAGATGTTGAACAAAATCAACAAATCGCATTCTAGTCGTTCGGTAAAAACTCAAGAGCATTATCGTCTTGCTAAGCTTATTTCTGCTTTTGGCATTGAAATGCCTGCTTATGCTTATTGTTAGGAGATGGGAGCTTTCTGTTGTTTCGCTGAAAACTCTTTTCGTTGTAGGAAGTATATTTCTCTGAGTTAAAGCTGTAATACTAGTTGTTTCTCAGCCTCTGCTGATTAGTTTCTTCATTTCTTAGTGTTCTCCGTGATTACTGATTTTCTCTTTTAGCAGGGCGTTTGATTCGTAAAAAGCACAAGGTTTTGAGCGAGGAAGCTGAAGCAGAGTCGGCAAACGCTGCTGCCCTACAAGCCTTGCTAGCATTGCAAGCTCGTCTTGATCGTGCACGGAAACAGCGAAAGTTGTTAAAGGAACATGCTGCAGAAATGATTCGTTGTGGCTTCAATTCCTTGAAGGGGTTTGCTGATGAGGAGGATCGTAGTCTTCATGAAGAGAAGATTCGTCTGATGTTTCAGGAACATCTTGAGATTATCGACTGGAGTTCCTTGGATTTGGGAGGTTCTGTAATAGATTAGTTGAGCTTTCTGAAGAGTGAGGTTCCCGAAGCTTCTGGATCTCGGTCCGGGGCGGAGCGATCGTCTTAGATACTAGTTTCCTTTCTTTTTCAATACTCAGCTACTCTTTCTTAAGCATTCTTAACGTTTTTCTGTAGTTCTCATGAATTTTCGCTTGCTGGATAACCTTTTCATTTAACAAGATATTCCCTTGTATTGTCTGTGCCTCTGTGCCTGAGGATCTTCTTTACCTCATACTCTGGTTCATTGTTTTCTACTTCCGCTGTATTATCTATTGATATTTCCTGTACTGCTGGTTCCAGCAATGAAATGTGGAAAACTGAGTATATTCTCATCCCATGAGATAATACTAACTTGTAATTAACTGGAGAAATCCGCTACAAGATTTTGAATGATCCTAACTTCTTATAGTCGAGTTTGTTGCTGGATCTGGTTGTTTTGATGTTTTTTCGAAGTAGGTAGGCTTTATCTTCCTTCTGTAGGATTGATCTCTCAATTCTTTTGGAGTTTGCATACCGCATTATTCGTTCTTGAACGAATTGTAATTCTAATCAGAGTTCCTTCTGAACTTTCTTGATCTTTTTAATCCTTTTATCCGCAGCTTCTGCATCTGCTCCTAGCAATGCTTCGTAGTAAGTTGTTGGATTATATTCATAGAGTACGAAGAATAGTGATTTCTTTATCGTGTTTGTATCTGCGCTATTATAAGTGAACTGTACAAGAAGCAACAGATTAATCCAGTTATTCTATTCCTGATTAATATAGTATCGAAGGTATTGTTTAACAATCTGATTCATTCTTTCTATCTGTTTATCTATTTGCAGATGGAATGCTGTAAATATTCTGTAATGTATTCCGAGCTGTTTCATAAGTGAAGTTCAAAACTTCGAGTTGAACTTTCTATCTCTGTTGGAGATTACTTCTTCTGATATGCTATGGTTAGCAATAATTGTTCTGAGAAATGTGTATGCAAGTTCTTCTGCTGTACTGCTGTTGTGGTGGCCAGGGTGGTAGTCCGTGGGACATGGAGTACAGTGGGTCAAGGGTCCTCATACATATAAAGGATACCACCCACTTTTCAAATTCTTTAGCTATAAGCAACAATGAAGCATCCTTTCTCTTCTTTTCAATTTTGAACCCTTTGGACAGGTCTAAGACAGGTTTTTCACCCTGTTCTTGCGCCCGTGTGGCCTTAGTTTGCTGTCCTCATCTGTACAGGCACGCTTGGGTTGCATGAGCCCTTGCCCATTGCTTCGGCAGCTGTTTGTCCCTCTTTCTTTCGAGGGCGACGGCGCCCTAGTTCTGGTTCAATGGTGCGGTGAGTGTGGACTTAGCTGTTCAGGCTGGTAGCTCAGGGCTGTTTGCGTCACAGTTCGTGAGGATCAGTAAGAGCAGCAAGTTTACCCTATGGACGGGCGCACTCTTTTTCCCTGCTGAGCTCTTTTATTTTCCTTTATCTATCACGCTTACACGACAGGCTGTGCATCATGTCTGAACTCTGGGTCATGCCTGAGACCTCTCGTAAAGGGGAGATGGGTGGACAGAGAAGGAGTGGTGTGAGTTCTGGTCGTGAGCTGGTGAACGATGCGTTGAGCCCGCAGGCCAATATTACGAAGAAACGAATTCCTTTTTCCAACATTTCCCACATCAATCAACGATCCTACACAGAAGCTGATACAGCTCAGACCTGTACAGGCTGCGGCGGAAAGTTTAACCATGTCGGATGTGGGTCCATGGTTAAATTACAGAGTGGGATGCTTTTGGTGGATGGTACTCTGTGGAGAAAAGTGGCATGGTTAACAAGGTCTGTGCTCCTTGCGATGGTCCGATCAGCACGCTCTACCTGGACACGTCTGGCCACATTGATCCTTTGGATCAAAAGCTTGCTGGTTGCATTATCCCAAAAGCGAAGGATACAGGGAGGTGAAGATGAGGAACTGTCAGTGCACACGAGGAATAGAGGTTGAGGATTACGACGACATCATCCGATGTCGAACTTTAATCAACGCCTTACACCTGGTCAGAAATGCCTCCATTGGTTAGCAGGACTATTGATAAAGGAAATCCCAGTGCAGCACAGAACAGCTAACTCAATCTCTTGTTGTTCATCACAAGACAGACCTCATGCACGCTCCACTCACAGACTGAACCTCCCTCAAGCACCTGAACCCCCTCAACCTCCACAGTATTGTCTTCCGCAGGATACGGAAGGCATTCCGGCTGTGGCGCCCTCAACTCAAGGATCTCGAACCAGAAAGCTAAAGAAACATCGAGGGAAGCGACAACCAGGAAAAAGGATAGCTTCTTCATCTGACAAGTCTCCTGACCCAACCCCGAGCTCGTTTGGTTCCTCTGCGAGTGGACAGTATGGATCTAACTTCCGGTTCCCTTCCCATAGCGAACTCGCTGGTGGCAGCTTGACACTGTTTTCTCGGATGGAAGTCTCATTATGGCTGAAGCGTTTCGACTGGTGGCGTTAAATCAAAGGCATTGACGACACTCAGGCGCTCAACTTTATGAAAGGCTTCTGTTCAGATGCAGTTGTTGCTGGGAAAGTAGAGAGATATACTACGAGTGCCAAGACATGGGGCGAACAGAAGGACTGACTGTTGGTTGCATATCAGCCCTGGGATCATCTCCAAGCATACACACCTGAGCAGGAGCGGCTGAACATCATCAACAACCGTTTCATTACTGATGCTGCGAGCTTGTAGTCATTCGTTGTTGACTATAACAACGCTCTTACCCGTCTCAAGATCAGGGATACTCAGCCTATTGCTGAGGCTTGGATGAAACTCCTCTCGACTTGGATCAAGCGTCTTCGAGCTGACCACGGTATTACCGCTGAGAAGGAGGAGACTCAAGACTAGCTTGCATCTGGCGCTGCAAATCCTCAACTCCATCAGCAGGCGCAATTCCAAGCTCCTTTGGTGCCACCACCTCAACCGATTCCTGACCAGGCGCGACCTGTGCTTGTTTCTCAGCCGACTCATGGTTTCCCCAATCACCCGCCAGCTCAGGTTGGGCAAACTGGGGGGACCATTGCACTACCAACCTCCTCAGCACTCAACCGGCGAATGGCAAGGCCAGCCTGAAGCAACTAAACAGATCCTGAAGCCCGAATCTGTCCAGAAGCCCGAGCAGGGGTTGAACCACTTGGCATCTCTGATGGAGCAACTTCGCATCGATCAGATTGCAATGGCTCACTCTTTGAGACTGCAATCTGAGACTCTCAGACAAACCCGGGATGTCTCATACGATCAGACCAAGGCTCTGCGGGAGATCTCACAGCTGATCAGGCGCCCCCAAACCATCTCTGCAAGGAATCCCCTTCAAGGGAGCACAAACTCTTTGCAGATGAGCACTGCTTATGCGAGCTCCTTGGCGGGGTGAACCAGACAACAACACCCTCGAGGTTCGGGAGATGGACATGAGCGACGACACTACATTCTGGGTCCCAGATATCATTGGCCATGATCCTATACCTGGTCAACCAAGTCCAAACCCAGGAGACATAGATCTGACAACCGAGACCGATGATAATGTCAGGGAAGAAAATAATGGTGGAGACGACGGACGTCTTACACGGGCAAGGGAGAAAGAGAAGCGAGAACAGGAGAAAGCGGATAGAAGCGGGATGTTTATAACAATTCCGACCAAGTCTGCCTTCTTGGCTCGTGGGGGAGGCTGATTTCTTTCTATCCATATTTCCTTTGGTTCGCAAAACACGTTTTCCTTTTGTCTTTCCTATGTTATCTCGTGTGTTTTGCTGGGGGAGGAGGGACGAAGTGTCGTCTGCTACCACCCACTACAGAATACTATAAAATCACCCAAATTTTAAAAGCACCCGGTACAGAGCATGTTGACCAGCTCTGAGACCATTTCACTATGAAGACCGCAGCTGCAGAAACGCAATGTATTGGAATGCAAGGCATGAAAATGCAAAGCGTTGAAGAACGCCGCAACCTAAAAGAACTCCTTCCGACCCCTATGCCAGCTCATCTCGAAGATCGCCAGCCGGTCCAGGAGCAACAATCCAGCTGTCAATGCAGCAAACGGCCAGGCCTGGTCAGACTACTGATGTTCCATTGCACCGAAGATTGAGAAGCAGCAATATCATGCGTTCTAATCTTCCTGACAGACCTCGGCAACCTCATGTGCCTTTGTGGAGTGAGCTCCATAGTCTTGCTCCTGTCAGACCCTCAGTAGGTCTTGAGAATTGGACAGGATTCGAGCATGCTATCAGGATGGATGTGTGGAGAGCAGACTGTGAAAGGATTGAACGGACGGTGGTTCAGAATAGAGAGAGGGCCACTGCTACTGCTGCTGCCCGGGCGGAGTTCGAGAACAGACAGGGACGAAGGGAAGGTCGACATTAGGATGTATCCAGATTGCGCCCGCGCTGCAAACAGATCATGGGCGGATATTGGTAATACTGCGTTGACTTGAGTGAGGACTCAGACAATCAAACTGGGTGCAGAGGTCGGATTGCGAAATGGTTTGGGTTGCAGTGCTTCCTTCGACAGCTTGCGATGGATTCTTTAGTTCTTTCTTTTCCTTTCTATCTGACCAGACCTGGCACACCATTGGACTTGTCGCAACTTTGGAAGAAAGTTGCTGGGGGAGGACTGTTGTGGTGGCCAGGGTGGTAGTCCGTGGGACATGGAGTACAGTGGGTCAAGGGTCCTCATACATATAAAGGATACCACCCACTTTTCAAATTCTTTAGCTATAAGCAACAATGAAGCATCCTTTCTCTTCTTTTCAATTTTGAACCCTTTGGACAGGTCTAAGACAGGTTTTTCACCCTGTTCTTGCGCCCGTGTGGCCTTAGTTTGCTGTCCTCATCTGTACAGGCACGCTTGGGTTGCATGAGCCCTTGCCCATTGCTTCGGCAGCTGTTTGTCCCTCTTTCTTTCGAGGGCGACGGCGCCCTAGTTCTGGTTCACTGCTTTCCTTATAGGAAAGAAAATAAGCATACTTGCTCAGTTTGCAAACTACTACTAGAATGCTATCATATTGCATCTTAGTTAAGGGTTCTTGTAAGAGAAATAGCTTGATAATGAAGTCTAGACTAATGGATTGCTAAATAGTTATAGATATTGATAGGGAGTGCAGTAGTTTATAAGGCTTATATCTTTCTGCTTTGTTTCTTTTGCAGCTATTGCATTATTGTAGGATATTCTTAATTCTTTTCCTAAAGCCTGATAGATTCCAGTATCTTTTGATGCATTCATAAGTTGCTCTAATTCTCTGGTATCCGTATACTGATGCATTGTATACATTTCTGATATAGTTATTTTATTCTTCTGGAGTTATTAATCCTGAATTCTTTCCCAAGAATTCTATTCTGAGAGCAGCATTCAATTCTCTGTATGCATTAACAAGATTTCCGGATTCATCTTGAGCGAAGATATTCTGCATATCCGAAGAATCTGCATCTTGATAATCTGATCTTTTGTTGAGAGCATCTGCTCGCTCGTTCTCCGAGCTTTTGCAGTGCACAATCTTGAAGTCGAACTGTAAGAGGAATTCTGCCCATCTGACTTATTACTTGTTCAAAATCTTAGTTGTTATAAATGTAGTTAGATTCTTATAATCCGAGTAAACTATGATCGAGCATTGTGCGCTAATGAGATAGTATTGCTACTTTTTGAAAGCTTTCACTATTGCTATGAGTTCCTAATCAGGGATTCTATAGTTGATTTCCAAGCTATTCAACTTTTTTAAGAAGTTGCTTATAATTCTTAGATGCCCTTGATTATCTCGCTAGCCAAGTTGTTCTCTGAGTGCATATCCTGATGCATTAGTCTTAACTTTAAAGAGTTTGTAAGGATTTGCTTTATACAGAATTAGTTCTGAAGTAATATACTTAATGATCTTATCAAAAGCTTCTTATGCCTTGGAGATTCATTCAAAGAGCTGCTCCTTTTTGATAAGATTTGTAAGAAGATGTGCAATCCAGCTGTAGTTCTTAATGAACTGCCTATAGAAGTTGATGTATTCGAGAAAAGATCTAATATCTCTAATATTTCTGGAAACTGGCTAATTCCTAATAGCTTCCATCTTATCTTTCTGTAGCTTGATGCATTCTAGCTCGATTATGAATCCGAGATAGTTAACTTTTTGTATATGAAAGTGACTCTTTGCAGGTTTCACAAGAAGTTTTGCATCTTAAAGCGTTTGCAACACTGTTTCCACATGCTTCTTATATTCTTTCAGTATTCGAGAGAAAATGAGAATATCATCGAGGTAAGCAATAACGAACTAATTCAGATGCTTGTATAGAATATGATTGATCATTTCCTGGAACGAAGCTGAGGCATTCGTTAGACCAAAGAGCATAACCAAATATTCGTAGTATTCATAGCATATTCTGAAAGCAGTTTTCCATTCTTCTTCTTTCTTTACTCTGATCAGATTATAAGCTCCTTTCAGATCCAGAACTGTGAACTACTATACTCCTTGCAATCTATCTTGTAGTTCCTTAATGAGTAGCAACGGATATTAGTTCTTGATTGTAATATCATTGAGTTATCTGTAATCAATACATAGCTTGAGCTTGCTGTTTTTCTTAAGTACAAACAGAATAGAATATCCTGCTGATAATCGCAATAATCGTATATATCCCTTCTTAAGGTTCTCATCGAAGTACTCCCTAAATGCTTCTAGCTATATCTTGTCTAATCTGTAGATAAAGAAGAATTTAAGCTGTTTCCCTTCTTGTAGCGGGATCTTGTAGTCGTATGAGCCGTATTCTAGCAATCCTGTATCCAATTCTTTCTGGAACAGTTTCTTGAACTTGTAATATTCTCGTAGTATGTTCGCGAGTGTTGGTTCTGGTCCCTGTGCTGTTTCTGCTACCTGGAGAAACAGTAGGTACCGTTGAGCGTGCTTCCTTTCTGATGGCGTTTTCGAGGGCCTTGAGCGTTCGCTCCGGGCCGGACCGAGCGCTCGAGAGCCTGATTTCGAGATTTTTCCCGTATAGTTCCACCATTCACATTCTGAAGCTTTTCCTTATCGCTCCGGGGCGGACCGACTTGCTGAGGATCTCGCTTCCGCTGTTTTGCTAACCTGTTAGCGCCCTGGCACTGTTTGGGTTCGCCTGTCACTAAGTCCTTCTCCTTGAACTGCCAGCCCTGCTGACTTGAAGGTATGTAGGAAGTCGTATGAAGCCTCTTTTCCTGAGTATTCTTCAACCACTAGCTTCGATCCTGCGCCGCTGATTGCAACTATCTCTCTAGATACAGCTTGTTCCCATGAGAGCTGGCCAGTAGTCCAATCAATTCGAGAATTGTGCTCCTTGAGCTATGGAAATCCCATAATCAGCTCGTGCTGTACCATATCCGTAATATCAAAGGAAGCTCTGGTTACGCATCCTTGGATCAAAACAGATAGATAATCAGTTTCCTTATCGATTACTCCTTGGTTGTATGCAACAGATTGTTCTTTTACAGTACTGAGGGTATATAAGCATCTCTTCCATCTTCATTGTAGTTGTGCCTGATTAACGATATATGGGAATATAAAGTTCTTCTAAGCGCCACTGTTCAATAGTGCGCTGTATTTGTATTCTTGAATATATATATTGAACTTAATGTAAGTATAATCTGTTCTAGAAGCTTCACATAGGAACTGTTCTAGTCTAATCGTCTGCAGTTCCTTTACAAGCGATTCTATTCTTTTGGATTTATCGAGAACTGTTTGTCCTTCTGAGCCTGTTTTGCTGCTTCTTAAGCAAGCTTCTTAGCTTGCTTTTGCCTGTATCGTTGTTATTCCTGGTCTTTCTTCTATCGATGCTAATTGCGAACCTTGTTGTTGATATAAATTGTGCAGAATATCGTTTTGCACTGCTACCATTTTATTTTCTTATTTACGCATTGCATAGAGCAGTTGTCTAGTAATCCGATATATGCATTGTAGTGCTGTCTGTTAAGAATCTCTCTGAAGCGGAATTCCTGTTCTTCAACAGCCTGAAGGATTTATCCTAGCTTTCTAATGGAGAACTATTCGTATTGCACCTTGTCTGAGAAATGCATTCTGCAGCTATAATAGATGCAGGAGATCTATACTAATTCGTAGTATAGATTGTAAAGTGGGCTGATCCAAGGGTTCTCATCTTCTTGTGCCTCGATGTTTTGCAAGGGAATGCAGGTGAAGAGCTCCTCTAGTTCTATCTCATAGACGAGATATTCAATCCATATTATTTCCTTATTCCACCCAATGCTGAAGGGAAATCTTTCCGTAGGTTTCTTGGGTTCATTGTTCACGGGAGACTCTAGTGAACCGTTGGATCGCTCGTTCTGGCTTGATCTTTTCATTGCCTGAGAAGCGTTTGCAGTATCGTTTAGATATTTATACCAATAACCAAGAGGGTACTATCCTTTGTTCATATCTCTGATTATAGTGCTTGGTATAAGCAATGGGGAATAGCGAAGGGCACCGTTGTTAAGCTCTTCTTTCAACGCCTGAATACTCTGTTTCATAACATCAGAACAGTCCGAGTTGCTACTCGTAGAAGTGCTGAGCATGCACTCTCGTCCTGCTATTGCTATTTATCTGCAGCGCTTAGATTTCTAAGAGAACTATCCTGAACCTTTCTTACTCGAGAGATATATTAAGCAGTTATCATTATAGCAGAATATCCAGCTGAGACTTCTGTAATTAACAGAATCCGATACTTGCTCCAAGAGAGTGTTTTTGCTCAGTTGATTGAGTTCCTGCTACCGAGCAACATTCACCTAGCATTCTTTCTGAACTGATTGCTATTTATTCTTCCGGAGTTGATAGCAGTTACATATAATGTATTCTTGTTTGTTGCAGTTATAGCAAGTAACACTGTTTCTCTTGCTATACTGCCTGTTAGCAGCATCGAGTTCCATGAGACCAGCATGCGTAGTACTGCTCTGAGCCGTACTGCCATATCAGCTGCTATTCTTGTTTTGAAGTTTCTTGCTTATATTAGCTGAAAACCTTCAAATCTAGCTTCCTCTCTTCTTAAACTTCTCCACTCATCATTCATACAGACGGTTATTAATGCGGATAGCTTGATTAGAGAATATCGCAAAGTTTTCCAGCTAATCTTGCTTGGAGATTTCATCTTTAATATTATCCTTGAGTTCCTTGTAATAATGCTTCATAAGATTCTTATCTTTCCACGGGAGTTGCGCTGAGAGTTGCTTGAACCTAACTGTATAAGCAGAAGCCGACTTGGTCTGCTTGAGATTCATGAGCTGCTAAGCTGTAATGCATTCTTCATTAGGATTACCAAAGATCTTCTTAAGAGCTTTCTCAAAGCCTTCAAAAGAATCAAACATATCCTTAGTATCCTGGATACGTATATCGGAGTTATTCTGATGCTCCAAATAGTTATATAGAGAAGGCTTGTACTAGATGAGAGCATTCTTTTCAAGATGAGTTTCTGCAAGAATAACTTTCTCAGATTCCTTAGTAAACTGAGTCTCGTAATGCAGGAAATACGCTCTGCAGTGGGTGAGGAATCCATACAGCATCTTTTGATTGCCGTCATACATAGCAAGCTTATCCATCTTATATACTTTTCCAGCGCCACTGGTAGTCGCAAAGGTAAACTGCGCCTGCTGAGCCTGTTGAGCTAGCTAAGCTTGTTAGTTAGCAATGGTAGCGCTCTGAGCCTGCTGTTGTTCGCGCAGATCCTGGATACGCTGAATAAGCTGATACACCTGATTGACCAGTTCTTTCTGAGTAGGGGCATGTGAGGACGAAGGGGTTCCTGGAGAAGCCATCGTATTCCGTATTGCTCAAGGAGATAACACTGAACCGTTCTTGAACAAGAGTTGTTAAAATGTAATGAGCACTGCAGCAATCCGAAGATTCCTAAGTATACGAAGGGAGTTTATGCTAACAAGAGCGGTATCAAAGTGCTAAATCCTTGAATACAGAACCGTACAAGTCTCAGTAAGCAATGCAAGTATTCACTGCCTTTAGAGCTATCAGAGTAGAAAGTAATCTGATACTTAGATTAACAACTGAAGAGCTATATACGAGATCTATCTGATGGGAATAAACGTGTTCTTATATATCCAGCTCTTCAGTCCTGTTGGTAGTGTTGGTTGTTGAATCCCTTGGATCACCTGGGTGATTCAACTGATCCGGATCACCATGGATCAGCCACCGATCCATCCTGATCCTGTAACCCTAACCCTTGCTTATATAAGCCTTAGTTCTTGAGATGTCGAATCCTTCCCTGTCTTTCCGAACAGTTGTTCCGGGTGTCCTAGCTGGGAACCTGTATATTGGATGAGTCATAACAATTATCTTGCATTGCCACTATTCTATTTTCTTATCCATGCATTGCAGAGAGCAGTTGTCTAGTAGCTCGATGTATATATTATAGTGCTACCTATTAAGAATTTCCCTGAAGCGGAGTTTCTGTTTCTTAACAGCCTGAAGGATTTGTTCTAATTCTCTGATGGAGAACCATTCATGCTACACTTTCTCCGAGAAATGCATTCTACAGCTATAATAGATGCAGGAGATCTATGCTAGTTCGTAATATAGATTGTAAAGTGAATTGATCCGAGAATTCTCGTTTTCTCATGCCTTGATGTCTTGCAAGGGAATGCAGGTGAAGAGTTTCTCTAGCCTTATTTCATAGATAAGATATTCAACCCATATTATCTCCTTGTTCCACCCAATGCTGAAGGGAAACTCTCCCTTAAGCTTGTTGGATTCATTGTTTACGAGAGATCCTGGCGAGCTGCTAGATCGTTCGTCTTAGCTGATTTCCTCCGTTACTCATAAGACGTTTTCAGTATCATTCAGGTATTTGTACTAATAACCAAGAGGATACCATCCCTTGTTCGCATCTCTGGTTATAATGCTTAGCATAAGTGATGAAGAATGTTGAAGGGTATTGTTGCTAAGTTCTTCTTCTAACGCCTGAATGCTTTGTTCAGCAATATCAGAGCAGTTCGAATTGTTGCTGCTTGTAGTTGTGCTTAGCATATATCCTCTCTCTGCTGTTGCTATCTGCCTGTGGCGCCTAAGCTTCTGGGGGAACTATTCTGAATCTTTCTTACTCGAGAGGTATATTAAGCAGTTGTTATTGTAGCAGAATATTCAGCTGAGACTTCCGTAATCAACAGAGTTCAATACTTGCTCTGAGAGAATGTTTTTGTTCAGTTGATTGGGTTTCTATTGCTAAGCAATATTCATCTAGCATCCTTTCTGAACTAGCTGCTATTTGTTCTTTTATAGTTAATAGCAGTTGCATGCAATATATTCTTATTTGTTGTAGTTATAGCAAGTAATACTGTTCTTCTTATTATACTGCTTGTTAGCAGCATTGAGTTCTATGAAACCAGCATGCATAGTGCTGCTCTGAGCTGTACTGCTTTGTTGACTGCTATTTTTGTATTAGAGTTTTTTGCTTGTATTAGCTGGAAATCTTCAAGTCTAGCTTTCTCCTTTCTTGAACTTCTTCACTCATTATTCATACAGACAGTTGTTAATGCAGATAGCTTAATTGGAAAACATTGCAAAGTTCTCTAGCTAATTCTATTTAGAGATTTCATTCTTAATATCATTCTTGAATCTCTTATAGTAATATTTCATGAGATTCTTATCTTCCTATAAAAATCTTGCTAAGAGCTGCTTGAATCTAACTATATAAGCTGAAGCTAACTTAGTCTGCTTGAGATTTATAAGCTGCTAAGCTATAATACGTTCTTCATTGGGATTATCAAAGGTTTTCTTGAGAGCTTTCTTAAAGCTTTTAAAAGAATCAAATATATTCTTGGTACTCTGGATATGTGCATTGGGGTTGTCTTGATGCTCCAAGTAGTTGTACAGAGAGAGCTTGTATTAGATGAGAGCATCTTTTTTGAGATAAGTCCTTGCAAGGATAACTTTCTTAGGTTCTATAGTAAACTGGGTTGCATGATGCAAAAAGTATGCTCTGCAGTAGATAAGAAATCTATATAGCATCTTCTGGTTACTATTATACATAGCGGGTTTATTTATCTTGTATACTTTTCCAGCACTACTGGTAACTGCAGAGGTGAACTGCGCCTGCTAAGCTTATTAAGCTAGCTAAGCTTGTTGATTAGCAATGATAGCGCTCTGAGCCTGCTGTTGTTCGTACAGGTTCTGAATACGCTGGATAAGCTGATATACCTGATTGACCAGTTCCTCCTGAGTAGGGGCGTGCAAGGACGAAGGGATTCCTGGGAGAGCTATCGTATTCCATATTGCTCAAGAGGTAATACTGAACCGTTCTTGAACAAGAATTATCAAAATGTAATAAGCACTGCAGCAATCCGAAGATTCCTAAGTACACGAAGAGGTTTATGCTAACAAGAGTAGGATTAAAGTATCAAGTCCTTGAATACGGAACTGTACAAGTTCTCAATAAGCGATGCAAGTATTCACTGCCTTTGGAGCTATCAGAGTAGAGAGTAATCTGATACTTAGATTGACAACTGAAGAGCTATGTACTGAGTCTATCTAATGGTAGTGAACGTATTCTTATATATCCAGCTCTTTAGTATGAATATGTTGAATAGCAACATATTCAAGTTATCCTGCTAGCTCTGGATAGCACATATCCGAAGCTATCCTTCCTGATTGGCCGTGCCCATAACCCTAACCCTGGGTTATGTAATCAATGCTTTGTCAGGATGTTGAGTCCTTGACACCTGATCCCTGTTACTCGTGACCTGTTCTGTGACCTGCATGTTGGATGGGTCATAACAGCAGTGATTGCGAATCTATATAAAGAATTCAACTTAGTTTTCTTTAAATACATTCCTTTTGCAAACTCTTCCTACTCTTGAGCTCCAGCTACGCTGCTATACAGCTAAGCTAGCATTCTCGTATTCTCAACTCTAAAAAGAAACAAGCATTCTTATTCTTCATATAATAAAGCGCTTGAAAGAAGTGATTCAGAGCATCTTTAGTATCTAAGATTGAAACATCTGAGTGCTAATGCTCTGAAGAAGCTTATCTACTCAGTTCGTGATATCAGAATCAATAGAACTAGACGAATTGATTGTGAATACTATGCTCTAGAGTATATTACAAAGATCATTCAATGCGTAAGATCTGAATATTACAGCTCTCAACTATTCTAGCACATTAGTTGAAATCTTCTCAACTATAACGAAGTGCAGGATAGCTCAAAATAAGCTTTCATACTCAAAGATGAGTATAGTAGCAAGTTATTTGCCTTTCTAATATCTAACAAAGCATAATTCACAGTATTCGATATACTTAAGTTATTCGAAACCTGGGTATAATGCTAATATTGCTTCTTCATCTGCAAAATCAGACAGAATGCAGACTTCTTAGTTATAAGAAAGCTATACGAAATGGTATATATACAATAGTGCGCTAATAACAGCATTAATCTGGAGATTACTCCACTGCGCACAAAATAGTCAAATAGCGCTGCTAAGCAAGCTGAGCGTGAAATTCAGAAGCATGCGCTAGTTCTCCTATTATCAGCCAAACTACTGAAAAACCTATAGCTAGAGTGTATGAAAGCAGCCACCTAGCTATTCAACATCTCTCCATTTATGCTTAAGCACTCCGAAACGCCAAATTCACTTCTGAATAGCTGGTTCAGGCAGTACTTTCGTTAGTACGCGCTGGAAATAGTCAGAACAGCAGTCTCGGATCTACAGCTCAACTGAGCTAGAATCTATGCATATGAATGCTAAGCATACATTCTGCAAGAAAAGTGCAAACTTAGCTCTTATAGATAGAATATAAAAACAGAACTAAGAGCATACAAAAGCTATCTTGTAAGATACATTGCAAGTAATCTATACTGTATATAGCTTCTAGCGCTTGCAAGAGTTGCAACTATATGCAATATTCTGTTTAATAAGAGCTAATTCTATAATCCAAATAGCAATAAAGTATTAGAAGCACTATCTTGTGCTTAGCTAGTACTAATCATTCTAGAGGTTGGAAATGATAAGGAAATTATAGATATAATTATTATTGAAGGTGTATAGGATTCAGTTCTCTAGCTTAATGCTACAAATCGAAACCAAGAACTTTATTCGCTGTTCGATGAGAATAATAGCTTATTCTCAGAGTTTCTCTTGGAAGGCATTCCGAGTTGGAACTCGGAGGTAAGAGCATCTGAGACTAGCAATGAAGCGCTCTTGCAAAGCAATCCATCCCAGGAAAGAAGTTTAGAGGATAAGATGCAAGGATTTCCAACTTCTGAAAAATCTTCCGAGGC